CAAATTGTTTTCATTTTCTAAGTAATTTTACACTAAACTAAAAAATTAAATTGTTTTCAGTTTTTTTACTTTTTTTTCTCCAAACACGTTTTCTCCTAAATCTCATTTTTTATCTTGAAAAACGTGAAAAATAGAAACATAATTAGTTCCAAACACGCTAATTGTGTTCTTCTGTTGCGGAAAAATAAATTTAAAAGCTATTCCAACCGGGTCCAAACTACCGATCCTAACAACCAAACTATTTGAAACCGGTGTTGATTTTTTTATTTTTTATTTTTACTATTTTTTTATAAAGAATATACGAAAATCTGTGTTAATCTACAACCGGTATGTGTTAAGAGCTCACTGTACGGAGAACACCGTATGATCATCGCAAATGGCATGGGTCCAATGAATTTCATGCATGACTGATCACGGATCCTACGGTGCAGATTTCACAAGTCCTCTTGTAAGTTTGAGTTTCGCCATTTTTAATTATCTCATTTTTTATTAATTCGAGTTTAGAATTTAAATTTTATTACAGTAAAAAAAACTCAGAAATAGTCATATTTAATTTTTTTATTACAGTAAAAAATTTTCATATAACATCACATCTCAACTCAAATTAAAAACTCAAATTAGTGAACCGAACGACCGTTTACGTCAAAATCGAGCACAAGTTGTTCTGAGAGTCATTATTTTGTCCAGATCAGCCATGTCCAACATAACCAGCGAATGAAATCCCGCCACGATAGCAGTCGCAAATGTAAGACTGTGGTGGGTCCCTTTGCAGTCCACAACACGTGGCAGTTTTTAACTGGCTAAACGGTGGATTCTTCCACTACAATCATGCAGGGGAGAAGAGTGAATTGTTTGTCCTATTATATTCTGGAATAGAAAAATTTTAGGCCGAGTTGGATGGTCCCAGTCCCATATACTCCATATTTCACTATCGTATGTTTGATGTCTTTTTTTTTTCTTTTGTTTTTTTTGTTTTTTTGGTTTGTTTGGTGTTACAAAATTGAAAATACAAACTACTCATCATTCATCAAATATCTCAATAATAATATAAAAAACTAATAAAGACAAAAGAAGCACATTAGAATTGATTGGTATGAAATATGCCACATGTTCATTTCGGCCTCTATGATCATCCAATTTATTATTCTATGCAACATTTTTCTATATGGAAATTGATTATTGGCTATGGTAGCATCCGTGATTATGTTTTCAAATTTTTGCAATAATTTCTTTGTGTCTCAGATTTTTAGCACGTATCATTAACCTTAGATTAATTCACTTGTGTGGCACAAACAAAAAGGCTTCAATATTCGTAATATAAATTTGGAGTTTTTTTTTTTTTTTTTTTTTTTTTTTTTTAATGGTCACCTTCCTCAAGATTTCTTACTGATTTTCTTACTCTCTTATTTGTAAATTATACAATTCTTTTTTTCAACCTTCATTTTGCATTCACTTAAAATGTCAGTCTTAAATAATTTGGATGGTATATGTTACCCACTTTATGCCATCGACGCAAGGAATTAAGTTGTATTTGCTTGACGTGAAAAGAAAAGAAAAGAAAAGAAAAATTAAGTTGTATTTGCTTGACGTGAAAAGAAAAGAAAAGAAAAGAAAAAGGAATATTTCTCTTTCTCCTTTAAATAGTCATGTATTTACTTACGAAATTAAGAATGATACTTTTATGTGCCCCACGCTCTACAGAAAATGAATAAATTAAGGGAATGCAAATCCTTGCAATGTTTGGTAATAATTTTATATTAAAAGGAATAAATCCAAAATTTAACTTATATACGCTTGACAAGTTCATATGTTGTAGTAAATTATTATCTTAGTTTTATAAAAAGTAGAAACGGCGTTTATAAGATTTTTATTCTCAAATTTATAAAACAATTGAAAGAGAATAGTATTATTTCCCACTTCACTTTTTGATAAGTTAGTAAACACTAGAAAAAAAAAAATCAATGATTATTATTCTTACTCCTTTATTTTACTTTAGTTTTCAAGCACTTTACATTTAGCATTACATTACATTATAATTTGGTAACATATACAAACTATAGAAAATATGTTTGGATCTTTCTTTATATTTAGTAAAAATCACATCAAAATAAAAAATGTCAAATTATCATAATTTGTAATAAAAATATGATGGTTCAAAATAGTGCGTACCAACATGGTTTTACATACCTTATGAAATAATCTCAAATATGTTTTGCATGACTGACATTATGGTTATCGTTATCTGCAGTGATCAGCAACATAAGCAAAGTCAACTCTAGCTTATAAACTACGAGTTAGTGAATTCATTTCTAAATTTCATATGGAAGAATCTGTGTGGTGGTCCGAAAGTCCTCTTGTTATGATGAGCAAGGAAGTTTTCATACTTGAGATTAATATATTATTTCATTCGTTTCGCTCATTCTAACTGAGAACTTGAGTTAAAAAATAAATTCATGTGAGAAAACACTCTAATAAAATTTATTAAATTTAAATTTTATGAGAGAAATTATTGTAATAAAAATTTAAGTTGTTACTCAAATTAGTAAAATGAATAGCATACATGCGTATACTTGATACCAAATCGGGCTAAAGGTTTATATTTTTGGCAAAGAGCCTCATATGATTCATGCAAAACATATAAATATATGACTATTTATATATTGCTGAATATATAAATATATAATAGGTTTTGATGAATCAAGAAATGTGGTTTACATCACATCATGAGCAAGGGATTGGGATTGCTTTGGGAGTGGGTCGGTAAGAAAGCTGCAATGTGTTTTCTAAAAGGTTTAAATTTGTCAGTGATGGACTAATGAGTGGTAAGAAGAAACTCATGGTTTTCATTATATAGAGGGGCTTGGATTTTTTTTCCCGCATTAAAGATGCTTATAAATTTCTTTTGAAATGTAGCCAGAAAGTCAGGATCCACCAAGTAGAGTGGGATCCACATCTACAATTGCTATATATATATATATATATATTCAGCAATATATATTTATATATATTTCTGGTTTCAAATTGTTACCTTAATATTAACTCATATTTCATGATAGGTATTATTGTTTTAGTCGTGTGATCGTATGAGTCATTATTTTAATCGTGTGGTCATATGAATCAAACGGTTAAAACGAATTGAATAATTGATATAAAACTTATGACAATTAATGAGCGTTAAATTTAGAGAGCTTATAATAATCATTTTAATTATTACTTAAGATTAAATTGTTGATTAATTTGCTATAACAAATCATATAAACATCACATTATCAAATACAATTAAAGTATGCCCTTATTTTTATTTTTATATATATTCCCAACAATCATTACACGATATTTACAACCCTATTTCTTCTAATTATTTTTCGATAATTGTATACTAGTTTAATCAATACCCTAAAAAAATAGTAACCATCAAATTTAAGTCCACGGCTATGTTCTATATAATTGTTGGAGATTCTGTGATGTAGTATTAAAAAAATGGTGTAGTAATTGTAAGATCAAATTTAAATTATCAGATGACATTAAAGTTGCATTAGATGATTAATAATTGTACCTTATCGACATAATATCTTATTCTTCTAAAAAATTCTCCTAAGCAGTTAGATTATATTCAAATTGTATTAGATTAATAAAAGTAATATAGTAAATTTAATAAAGACTTAATAATTTTTAATTCTGGCGTATTGATAGAATATTTCATAGTATTCTATCACAAAATTCTCCTACGGCTACGTAGTTGAACAAAGGTAATTAGTACATAAGTAGCAATTAGCAAAATAGCAACGAAATTTGGGAAATTCCATATCGATCAACTTCTATGGGCTGTCGACAGATAGAGCCCGAATTATGAGTGGATAGCTTTCAATTCATCACTTGTGGTTGACCAAGATTAATAATTAATCAAGACCATGAAATTACAATGAACCAATATCGATTAGCCACTGCCACGGAGTTAGGCGCAAAATCAGAAAAAATGGATTCCAAAATATCACAATCACCAACCTTTGTTATTTTCTAACATCAAAGTCAGGCATAGTCATTAATATCCACACACAAAAAAGAAAAAAAAAAAGAGAAAAACTAATCATTATAAACTTTTAGATTAATAATTAATCAAGACCATGAAATTACAATGAACCAATATCGATTAGCCACTGCCACAGAGTTAGGCGCAAAAGCAGATAAAATGAATTCCAAAATATCACAAATCACAATCACCAACCTTTGTTAGTTTCTTACATCAAAGTCAGGCATAGTCATTAATATCCAGACACAAAAATAAAAAAATAAAAAAATAATAATAATCATCATTATTAACTTTTCCCACGTAACCCATCACACAATTGATCATCACGATAAAAAGTATGCATAGTAAATTAAAAAAAAATGCTAGCCCAACTCTTTATATCAAAATGTATAGAGTGATAAAAAAATGACAAAAATAATGATGATAATATTTTTCAAAGTAAAAAATCGTTATATATGTAACGTTGGAGATTTAAAATAGGAGATTATTTATAAATAGTGTTATATAGAGAGAATTAAAAAAATATATATTTGTTGTGGGATAAAGCTTAGTAGGGTCCCAAAGACGGCTTGCCATTAGCTGTATGGAAAGCTAAGCTAGTGGCGCTTTCCACTAGAATCAATCAATCTCAGTCACCCAAAACCCTGCTTAAGTATTTACTATTAGAGTTTAGAAAGATGAGAAACTGCTTAAGTATTTACTATTAGAGTTTAGAAAGATGAGAAAAAAATGAGAAAGAAAAATTACACTTTATAAAATATTGAGTTTTTATATTAAAAAATTAACATGTTTAAGTAAAGTAATAAAATATCTTTATATAACTATAATTATATCTGTATTTATACGATGTGATGTGAGACTCAAACATTTTAACCCTTAACATTCACCCCTCCTACACTGACTTTCTTCTAAACTGACTCTCTATATATATTGATAACTCACAAGCTCTTTTCTGCAACATCACATTCGTATTTAATTCTCTCTCCTCTCTCTTTCTCTCTCTAAAATACAACTGAGTGGTCTTTCTAAGTTACTATTATGGCCATGATCAGGTCAAGTGTTGTGGCTTGTGTTTTCTTTTGTGTTGTTGCTTACAATTCTCTCTTGGTCTTGGGACGGCCGGCAACTTTTCTTGAGGACTTCAGAATCACATGGTCCGATTCCCATATCAGGCAAATCGAAGGTGGGAGGGCCATTCAACTAGTGCTTGACCAAAATTCAGGTTACATACTTTTGCGGGGTCTACTTTTTTTTTTTATCATTCATTTTTCCTTTTCAATATTGTAAAAAAAAAAAAAAAATACAAACTTTTATTATTTTTAATATTTCAGGATGTGGGTTTGCCTCCAAAAGGCAGTACTTGTTTGGCCGTGTGAGCATGAAGATCAAGCTCGTACCCGGAGATTCAGCCGGAACAGTCACTGCTTTCTATGTGAGTAGGACTTGAAATTAATCACTATATACATATATATATTTATGATGTATTTATGTTGTCTTATTAGGCTAAATGTTACTTAATTAGTACTTATGATCAGTTGTTTGTCTTAATTAAATTTTTGTGGTGGTTTTAATTAGATGAACTCCGACACCAACGCGGTGCGTGACGAGCTCGATTTCGAGTTCTTGGGCAACCGCTCCGGCCAGCCGTACACCGTCCAGACCAACATCTATGCTCATGGGAAGGGTGACAGGGAACAAAGGATTAATCTCTGGTTTGATCCTGCTCTGGAGTTCCACACGTACACAATAATGTGGAACCATCACCATATCGTGTACGTAATTAATCAACAACGACTTTTGCTCTTAATCCCCGAGTCAAATATTAATTATTCCTAATCTACATGCAAAAGTAGGTTTTTAAGTGCGAGAGAAAGAGAGGAGAGAGAGAGAGAGAGAGAGAGAGAGAAAACGCGAATAGATTCTCCTCAAAACTCAAACATTTGTCCCCTAAGCCTAGATGGAAAACTATGGATTTTCCCAAATAGATTTTTGATAAATATCCTGCTTGATTTTCTGTCTCATTTTCTGTCCCATATGAATGATACATACTATTACTAACAGTTGACATATTCCTCACCAATTACCTTTTCCATGAAAAAAAAAAAAGAAGGGGGGACGCGTTTATTTACTAGTTATTAGACCAAAAAGGAGACAATAATTAAGCACCTCTACTCTTTACTTGTCATTTGTTAATTAGGCACTTCTTCTCATATTTCCTTACGACGAATTTAAGACAGAAAAGTTGATTATGACAGATAAAATAGGATTATCTCTTAAAAAAAAAAAATCTTTTTCTAATACACCACTTCCATGTAATCTCTTTTTTTTTTTCTTTTTTTTATGTATCATTTCCACGTAAGCTTGACTACATTGACTTTTTATTATCCCGTATTTCTATTTGTTCCGAGTGTGTTTTAACTTTATGTAAGACATGCATGCCAAAATTTCATGACTATACCACTTCTTTTTCTATAACCTTCTCTTAAAAAAAAGGGAAGGAAATTGAACCCATAGATAAATATCAAATTAGCAACTTTAAAGAAAAGTAACTTGTGAGTAAAAATAATATATTAAACACAGTGACGGAGCTAGTTTTTCACTTCAGTGGAGACGTACACTTAAATTTTTTTAACAAATTATCTTAGTGGGAGCTTATAAGAAAATATATTTATTTTAGTGTGAGAATATATTATTTTAGTGTAAAATTTTAAAATTTTTAAAGGTAATATTTAAAAAAAAAAAAAATTTGAGTGGGGACGGTAACCCCTACTGAACTGTACTTAAATCCCCCATTGATTACACAACATTTTCCTTTAATATTATCCTAATGCCAAATTTAACATCACAAATTTGTGCACAGCTTCTATGTGGACGAGGTGCCAATAAGGGTGTACAAAAACAACGAGGTAAAGGGAATCCCATACCCTCTCCACCAGCCCATGGGGGTCTACTCCACATTGTGGGAAGCCGATGACTGGGCGACCCGAGGCGGATTGGAGAAGATCGACTGGAGCAAAGCCCCCTTTCTAGCCTACTACAAGGATTTCGATCTCGAGGGCTGCGCGGTCCCCGGTCCTGCTAACTGCGCAGCCAACACTGCCAACTGGTGGGAAGGCTCCGCCTACCAATCCCTCACCGCAATCGAGTACCGGAGGTACAAGTGGGTCCGGGTCAACCACATGATCTATGACTACTGCACCGATAGGTCGCGTTACCCCGTCCCACCGCCGGAGTGCCTAGCAGGCTACTAGACAAAATTCAAGCCACTTTATAAACCTACCAACAAGTTAAATTACTTACCAAACAAAGTGGTATACGTACAATTCATGTCATATACTCTTTTTGTTTTTTGTTTTTGTCTTGTACAATATGGCTCATTATTTTGTATACTGTGTGAGTATACCATGCATGTCGTTTGTTAAGGGTGATGAAGCAATGCTAGGTTTGAATTCTTATAAGGGAGAGGGGTATGGCCGGAAAAGTAAATCATGTCAATTATTTTCTTTGATCACGTGGCTCTGTATGTTCCCTTGTCTGTATCCATGCGATCCAATATCGCATTATTTGTGCCAATAAATGAAAATTTTCTGTTGTGAATGTGAAAGAAAAAGGGTTGCGTGTATGCTTTTTACGGTGTTCTTCTGTCTTTGGCTCTCAAAGATTTCGCACGATTTCTTTTGCTTTTTTGAACTCTCATGGAATGAAAAAGGTCGTTTCATGTACCACACAGGTCAAACGTATACTATAGAGGGAAAGAAGAAAAGGGGTTAATTTTAAGGGAATTTTTACAGTAGGAATTTTTTTTCCCCCCCGCTATACTGGTAGAAACAGTTAATTTAGCCACGAGATTAATTTCTCAACGGTCTAATCTATGATTAGGAGCAATTTTGTGTCGCTGTTTACAAATTTTTAACATGGATGTTCACATATCAAACCGCAGTTCGATAGCGAGAAAAAACAGGTTCCTACTATAGAAATCAATTTCCTTATTCTTGAACATGGCTCCCAATAACAGGAGATTGTGTTACTTTGTCTTTTGCAACTCAAAATAGCATAAAACCATCCTAAAGCATACTTAAAATTGCAATTTTAGTACTTCCATCTTTAAGACGTTGATTTAATACCGTTTTAAATTGGAGGGGCAAGGGTAAGGCAATCCATAATTCTTTGAGAAAATTTAAAATTAATCCCAAAAATTAAAAACTAATTGAAACTTTCGTTAAATTTTATCTCAGCCTAGTATTTTGACTTCAAATTATTGCTTTAGGAATTAAGAACCTATTTTTTTTTTAATTATTCTCTCTTAGGATATCACAATCCTTGTTCTAATGTTGATCAAGTTAGGGTTATACGATTTAACTAATAAATCAGTCAACATCGAGAAAGCCGAACGACATTGTCCAATCAAGCGTGCAACATCAACACTAACTCGCAAAGTGTTCAAATTGGCTAAGGGCCCGTTTAATTCGTTAATTCGAGTTTTTAATTTGAGTTGAGATGTGACTTTATATGAGTTTTTTATTGTAATAAAAAAATTAAATGTGACTGTTTTTGAGATCTTTTTAAACTCGAATCAGTGAAATGAATGTGGTCTAAATATTTGGGGGTTTGATCTTCGAATATCTGCAACTCAATGTTGATGTAGCACTGCACCTAACCGGTTTACTGATTAAACTTCACATCTCGAATTTGATCAACTTGGGAATCGCGAAAAACTGTCAACAAACAATAATACATAATATTTAGCGCCTAATAAAATAATTTGAGGAACAAAATGTCAAGCAGGAAAAAAAATAAAAAGGTATCGAAATGAGGTTGTTTTTTTTTTTTTCTTTCCAAAAATATGGTACTAATTTTAAAGCAAGTTGTTCAATTATCTTGTTCAAGTGTCTGTCCTTGTAATATAAATATGTAGGGAGAGAATTCATTTCTAACATAAGGAGATTATAAGAAGAAAGCTTCTTAAATTCATCCGTTCTATATTTTTCAGTTTTGGCTTTGAATTACTAGTGAACCTTAACATATAAAACACAGTTTGGTCCTTTGGTTCATTATTATTGCTTTTGTTCTGCACACATGCTTCAGTTGTCGCAGAAGCTATGCTTTATGTGCCTGGCAGATTTATATCAATGAATTTCTTCAGATAAGGCCCTTCAATCAGCACTATAACGAGCGCGGGTCCCAGGTTGAGGATGATCACTGTCGGTTGTTGTCGTTTGCACGTGTGGCACGGATCTATTTATGTCCTACATTAATATAAGTTAAAAATTATTTGTATATGTTCTTGTATTGCTATTTATTACCAATAGTAATGATAATCACATTCACACTCCGATAAAGCCTCTTTACAGATAGGATCAATTTCTGACAGTTAAATCTCATTAAAATTACATTAATTTTATATCCGTTTCTAATATATATTTCACAGTTAAAAACAGAACATATTTGATGGTTTATTTTTTCAGTGTCTACAAGAGATATCCCTTAAAAATTTTGGATTTTATTTTTTGGATTCACATGTGAAAATGAAATTATAATCTACTATTGTGGTGATGAATATTAGTTTTCATATTTATATGAGTGGCTCGACATCTCATTGGAAATGGTCAAATGGTCCGTACCTCAATCATCTTCAAGACAACTGTGGGATGCATGGAAATTTAAAATATGCCCTTGTTTGGTGAATCTTTTGCAATGTACGCTAAAAGCCAATCTAGAGGAAGCAAATTGACAAGAATTTTGAAAAGAATGAGCCTTTTGGTCACATAATGTTGAAAAGCCGAACACAAACAAGCATGCTTCTCACATTTTCTTTCCCCGTTTTCGTACAACCAATCAAATTGGAAGGATTCTGAAAGATCAAAAACGTCAGGGATGATTTTCACAGGGGGACCCCAGATCACAACTAGATTGATAGAAGCATTTAAAAATCATGGACCCTGCCAACTCTCAAGTTGTTTGACCTGAGCTGATAAATGAGTTGAGATGGGACCATCTTCTGAGCTAGCAAAAGTTAGATTATGAATTCACTTAACCAAGCAATAATTAAAAGTTTTTGTTGATTATTTGGATATCTTATGGCCGAGTTTAGAATTACTGTGCTTTTAGTAGAAGCACTATTTTTTTACGTAAAATAAAACTATAAGTTCTAACTTCTCAAAATAAATTAAAAAGTCGCACTATATTTGAATTGTATTTTATAGAAAGTGCTTTTAACAACTCTAAAACCAATCCCAAACTCACCCTATATGTCTTCTCATATGGCTAGCTTAGCATTACCAAAGCTGCCAAAGTACTCAAGGGAGAGGAAACCAAGATAGCCTACTACTATAAAGATTATGTAGAGCTCTTTTATTCTCTTATTCTTTTGTTTTGGTACTTGGATAATCTAGAGAGTTACTCATAAGCAAAGATATATACAACCAAAGATATATATATGACTAGATCATTGGGAAAACAAAAACTGACGTGGCAAACCAATCTATGAGAAGAGGGTATTGTCTTTGGGGTCACAATCAATGGTTAAACATGCAGACGAGTCGATGAGTATATGGATAAGGCGTAGATAGAATGTAGTGGAAGAGAGCCACATATCAAAGTTAGGTATATATAACATATCAGAGTTACAGGAAACACAAAGTGCTATAATTGATTGAGCGCTAAGCTTACATTGGATTCCCCTTCAGATTGATAGTATCAAGTTCACACCGACATACAAGAAACTTGAGAGAGAGAGAGAGAGCCTCTTAAAGGATGTCATCTAGAGACCTTAAAATTTTCATGAGAGGGTAGAACTTATAACCAAAAGAAGGGGAAACAAAGTTATTGCTTGGCAATGTTGATCTTCACCGCAATCGGCTCTGAGCAATATGGACAATTTCCAAACAGAACGTTAAATGACCTGCAATGCAAGTATGAGTAGAAATTTTAAACAAGTAACAGAAATGATATCCGCAGTTAGCAATTGTAGGATATGAGATGACATGAGTTACAGATGTGACATAAATCATTGAGAATGTCAAAATGTTCCCAGGATCTATCAGCAAAGAAACTGTTCTGGGGACACCCCAGACCCAGTGGCACATATCTACAGCTTTAACTCAAAACCAAATTAGAGTTCGATCCATGGCATACAAAAAAAGGCAAAAGAAATCTACGGATCTTTTTTGTTTGGTGTGTTTTTGGAATTCTTAAGTTCTGAGATCTGATTGAACTAGTTGGACCACAGTTGAAACAGTGTTGGCTTAATAATAGAAGAGAAAATATATTAATCAAAATGGAAATTAAGAGATGGGGTAAGTACCAATAAAAGCGGACTAGTCTGGAAAATATTTAGCTATTCCTGTCCATTAGACATTAAGTTGTGAGGACCCTTTTAAATGACATCCACCCACCCCTCGAATATAATTTTTCCTTTAAAAAAAAAAAAAGAATCCGCCACGCAAGCCCCCCAAAAAGGAAATAGTTATTGTGTTCTTTTCCTTAAATTGAAGAATTTTGGCCAATGAAGTTGTTTGTCCCTTATAATGCAAAGTCAAAACTCATTAGGTCAACTCAATACGGTAAAATAATGAAAGGAACCGAACATACTGCCTTGTTGTGGTGATTGAGCGCAACCAGTCACCGAGACAAACACTATGGAAAGCTCTGTTGCAGTTGGTATTCTCACACGTGTAGTCGATTCCACTCCCGCTCTTATCTCCCAGCTCCTCATCTACATTACGACATAGAAAGTCAACATAATTTCACGACCGAAAATAGCTATCTTTCTTTCTGTAACATTACCGATTGGAAGACTTTGAGAATAACAAATTCCACATTCAACTTCTTGGTCGTTCTTCTGGACATCTGGACGCCTTGGCAGTTGAGTCGCCAGAAGGCATTCAAGATTCTCTAAAAATGACCTCTTAGTACTCCTGTGTGATAAATCAGAATACATTTATTTTGCTTATTTTTCCTTTCTGCTTGATGTCAAGATGCATGACTAGTAAATGCGCAAACAAATATATAGACAACACTTGCTATAATCATATTTCTCAGCTAAAATAGGATAGGCGTGGTCACATGCAGTACATTGGCGGGAATCAATATTCAAGCGAAGGAATTAGTATTTATTCTCATAGCAAATGTAAATATTTGGCCAATTTTATTTGAAAACTTGGATTATAACAAAGAGGTTACAGTACTATACAATATCATAACTATCCACAACATGCCAACCTCAATCTTAGGCTATGGTCAAACTGCTTTTCACTAAAAGAAATATGAGTTCTATGTTGGTTGATTTTCGTAAACTAGGATTTATTTCAGCAGTAAATGCATCATAAAATTCACATTTGATAAAACTCAGATCTAAATTCAAGACGCATGGCATACCAGAGTTTGCTGTTTCTTTGCCAATTCTTTCTCATGATGTTCACAAGTTGACCTGAACCTACAAAACGAATTCTAAACCAACTTAAAATATTCAAACCATAAGATACAGAGGGAAAAAAGCAAGAAGGAATGGTATAGGTTTACTAATTTGCACTTAAATCTCACTCTGGTAAAGATCTAGGATCATTGGCAACTATAGATAGGACGATGAAGCAATCATTGCCTGAAAAGAATGGAAGTTTCAAGGACGATTAGTACTGAGAAAACATAGGGGAGAAACGATATGTTAATACTTGATTAGAAACAAAGGAGTCACCTATATCGATAGAGCGGGATGACAAGGACGACATTTTACTATCAACAAAAAGTGTTTTGTCAATATCCTTCAAGGTCGACCAAAATTCCTGAAGCTTATTCAGATGCTGAAGTACAAATACAAGTGGTTGAAAGGTTATAGTGAACATAAAAACCCATGAACAGACATAATAGATAACACCATCTAGCAATTGACCAAGAAAGAAAGCAATGAGAAAGCTCATGAGGCCATTAAAATAAATACATATATATATATGGAATCAATACCTCCTGAAACTGCTGCACCACGTTTTTTAATCTTGAGTGGATCGACCATTCTAAATCATAAATGTAAGGCACCTCCTGAACGAAATTTTATTCAAACTCGGGCGATAAAGAGAGAATTTTAATAATCAACAAAATTAAAGAAGATATACTGCTGAAATTGAAGGGGGCGATTTGGGGTAGGCTTTATCCAATTGGATTTCCAAATGATGAACTCTGCCCTTCTTATCCCTGTTAACATATAAGTCCATACATATAAGACGGAATAAGCAAGTGATAAATGAGAAATCAGCAGCCAAAAGTAAATTGAAGGGCCAAAGGAAACTAGCTTTAATCAAAGAAGAAACTTTTAGAAACAATTGGATACAACAACAGCCTCAATTTGAAAGAAAAATGAAACGGAAAAAAAAAATCAAGAAATGAAACATGAGAGATTCAAAGGGAAGCTAAACTAGAGTGTTGTAATATTGATTGCTGGAAAACTGATAGATAGGAGTTTTAGGCATACGCGATAACCTTAAGACAGGCTCAATCTTTTAACGGATTACATCCAATCATGTTTGGCAACATTGTTAGGACATTTCGGCATTGTCAAGACACGAAATATTTGATTGTCGATAATGGGTTCTTGTGACAGAAATATGGACCAATGACACGTTCTTAAATTTTCATAAAAGCAAAAAATAACTTAGTTTCTTTTCCCACATGTGGACGTGAGGGAAAGAAGCAAGGATTGGTCGATCCATGCAGAAAACAATTCTAGGTGAATGAAGAATATAAGCAAGAATATCTTACAACACGCGAAGGCTAAGAAGTGTTAGATCTCCACTCAACCTCACTAGATGCTCCCATCCAATCTCTTCTATCTGCATATATATGACCAAGTGAAGATCCTCATCAGCAAACTAATACTGGCAGCTAAGACACTCAAGTCGCCAATAAGTTTACAATGAATCAAAATGAAGTAATCAGTGTTCTCGATAAGATTGATATATGGAAGTCGGCATCATAGTTAGAATCATTTTGATTGTTTGTAACTACATATTGGGAGAATACCATGGCAAATTCTATTAGTTGTACACTTTTATGGTATCAGAGTATCCGAATAAAGGTAATTGATCATTTTATTGACATAGAAAGGTATCAAAGAATCTAGAAACAAATAAGTAACAAGACATGATCCAAGACATTTATAGCTTCTATTTCATGTTTTCTTTGTAACATGTTTAAACACACCTTGAATTGATGCTTAGCTCAAAAATATGGCTTGAAAACAGTAGCGTCACAACCAATGTAAGGAAGTGAACCAAATTGAAAAATTCAAAATCATAAGCAGATTTTCATTTGTGAATGATGAAATGGAATCAAATTAAACATAAGCATATTCTCTAGCATAAAAAAAAAAAAAAAAATTTGCTGTATAGCGTAAGGGATCAACATAACAATCACCAACCAACCTCCGAGTACACTAAGCGATGAAATCTAGTGGATTTATCCAGCTCTTTGCTTCTAGTCTGATTACTGCATTCCTGTACATCAACATTATCCATTAACACATACATGAGAGCATAGTTTTAAAAAGGCGGAATCGGGAACCGAGGCGTTTTGCCTGATAAAAAAACTACAATAATCTATCAACCCAACTTCAACTTCAAACAAAAATGACAAACACAAATATTAATAGGACTATTGTTTATCTCCATTGTTCCCACTCCTCAATGTCTCAATCTTCATCTTCACAATGCAAAACCATTTTGCAAATTATAAGAACCACATTAATAACCCAAATGAGGAAACTCTACCATAACCTTATTATTTAACCAATGAGCTAAGATTTACATTCCAAAGAAACCCATTTTGAGGTTTTGTAAAATCAAAGAAATCCCGACAGGACCCATCATAGAAGCAAAGGGAAATGAGCGATAACAACAGAAACACTCACAAAAATCCCAACTTCAAACAAAAATTACAAACAGAAACCACCAAAATAATAATAATAATAATAATCGTAATTATACAAACAGAAACCAACCATGGAGAAGCTTGGTTTACATGTAGCTTGAAATTGTCTCGGAAGGAGGTGTGGATACGTTGTTCGCGACGGCAGAAGGACTGAGAGAACGTTATCCAATCGGGGGATCGCAGAGGGGGAGGCTCGACCGTCGACGGCTGGGGATGGAGATTTGGGGCCGAGAGTCACTGATGTTTTTAGAGTGAATCATACTAATTTTTCATTTTTAGCATATACCCTAATTATTATTGTTAGCAGTTCCGCCGTAAACTTTAAAATTAAAGAAAAGTAAGGGATTATTTTTTGGAGTGTAACTTGAGTATAATTTTTAAGTTAAATTTGAGTTATAACTTAAGTTGAATTTATAACTTGAATAAAGTTGAGTAAAGTTGAATAAAGTTAAAACTTAAAAGAACATAAATTTGAATAAATTATAACTCGAGTTATCTTTTTTTAAATTTTTTAGATAAAAAAAACATGCCCTAAAAAACTACTTTTTACAGCTGTCATCTTTTATTATTGACCTCTTAGTCATATTTCTTTTTATTATAATAGATTAACTTAATCAAATGAATGGTCTCATGAGTTCAGAGGTTTATTATGTTAACCTCAATGTTTGGTTTAACTTTTAAAACGACTTATGTTTGGTATCTGATTTATTATATTATTTCAGTTTATGCCTTTTCATTAGTTAGGTGTTAAATATTTGACATAATTTATAAAAATTAGAGACCAAAACTAAAATATCTAAAATTCAAAGACTAAAATAATACAAAAAGTAAAAGTTAATCTCCACAAATTGTTCCTAAATTATGTAATTTTGATTCCTAATTTTTAAAAATTTCGTTAAATATTTAGCACCAAGTTAGTAGAAGGATTAAAATTGAATCAGAATAATAGATTAGATACCGATGGGAGGACGTTTTAAGAGTCAATTTTAAACAAAATTCTTAATATCAATAGCAATTAAAATCTAATAACGTTCATCAGTTTTTAAACTTCAATTGCTATTAATTTAAAAGTTTAGGGATGATTTTCAGCCTGCAAAAAATATGATAGAAGTTTATAATTTTGTCTGGTAACACTGACATGCATGCAAACCACATGGCAGCTTATGATCCCGTTTATTTCACCGATTCGAGTTTTGCTACAGTAAAAAGCTCTCATAAACAATCACATCTAACTTTTTTACTATAGTAAAAAGCTCTCACATAAAATCACATCTCAACTCAAATTAAAAATTAAAATCAGTGAACTAAACATGCCTTAGCTAATACCAGTCCAATAGCTAGATCAAACTCATAAAAACCCAATGCATGCATCCACCAAAGGCAAAGCCATGGGGGTTGAAGTGGTCGAGCATTAAATATTGGAACGTGATACCTTGATGAACTTTATCAATAAACTGATCCTCCCAAAAAGCATTTGTTATAAGAATGCTACAAAAACATATATTATATAAAACAAGACTATATAACGCACACCGAACCAGGAGACAACTCATGCACAAACATGTCGGAACATCATAAAAAGAATCAATTAATTTTATATATCGATTCTTTTAACATAATGTATTGTATACATAGTGAATAATATCCACGTTACAAAGAGCAACATCCAACTGAAAAACAACAATTGAAGTCTAGGTGATTCCTTAAACCTAGAGGGAATTTAGAATACTTCTCATTCTCTCTCTCTCTCTCTCTCTCTCTCTCTCTCTCTCTCTCTCTACCTGTTGTGAAGAGGATTAGCTCCGGTCGGAATGCCTCTCTTATCTTCATGAGTAGTGACATTACATGAATATTTAGTGGTGCAAGAAGAAGAACCGCTAAGCTTGGTCATGAAATCAGAAATCCCACGAGCAACTGCAAGATTAGACCCCGGGTTTGCGAAAATCAACAGAAGTACCAGAAGAACAAATTGTGCAGCCATTGATATGCCACGGAGCTAGCTGATAGGATTTGTGTTAGAACATAATATTTGGAAGGAAATTTAGACTGTGAAGGCGTATTATATATATATTATATGTGTGTGTGTGTAAAATGGTTCTTCGAATGAACTCGCAATCGAGGGTAGTGGAGGAATGTATAAACTTCACTAGGTTACCCGTAAACGGTAAATGGGAATATTAATATAACCACCATATGTGTGTTTATATGCGTGTCTGTCTGTGTATAAATATATCCTCTCAGGCTTAGGTGGTTAATTATTATGTGTGAATGCCTCATGAGCATCCAACGGTATCATCAATCCCGAGGGCGCTCTTTCTTCTCTTTGAAGTTGGGAGTGCCTGCTAGAGTATATATATATATATATATATAATATATATATATACCTTCTTAATCAAGCATGAAACATCCTGCAAATTTCCCTCGCGCTGTGGAACTTTTTGTTTTAAATTTTATTTTAATGTGGATGCTTAGCCGCGAGGGGCAATTCCTAATCAATATAACACCGATTTCTTTTTGTATATATTGAAAGGTTAATCACTCAAATTATCTATAATTTTGGCCCTTAAATTTTAAAATGTCCCACTTTTACTTCTAAATATATTATTTTGTTTCAGTATTAAATATTCGACGAAATATATAGAAAATTACAGATCAAAAGTGGAAAAATCCAAAGTTTGGAAACTATTTGTGGAAAGTGACTTTTATCTTTTATATTGTTTTAAACCTTAAACATTTAGATTAAACTATTTGTGGAAAGTGACTTTTACCTTTTATATTGTTTTAAACCTTAAACATTTAGATTTTTCATATACCGTCGTATATTTAACACTTAGTTAGAGGGATTAAGGCTGAAACAATGTAATAGACTAGAGACGAAAAATGGGACATTTTAACATTATGAACTTAATTGAGATTAAAGGTAGACCTCAAGTGTCATTTCTAGGGTTAAACGGGATGATCATGCTTCATCCTACAAATGCATTAAACCGAAGGCCAAGTCAAACATACATATAAATGGAGCCAAGGCTTCGGTTTTCTGACGCTAGAGGAAATAATTCAAGGAGGATATCCTTCTCATGGCGGATCTCGCACTCGAGAAAAGCAAAGCAGCAAATAAAATTTTGATACAACACAATAAAATTACATGCCTCTCTGGTCACTCATCATTCTTCGCAAATAATCCAGATTCTATTGAGAATTTGTGATTTCTCAACAGCCTTTTCAAAGAGCAGCTAATATGTCTTAAAGTGACATTCCGGTTAAGTCTCACACTTTTTGTGCAAATATCCTGTGTCTTCCTAAACAGTGGCGGAGCTAGCCTTTCACTTAAATAGGGGCGTACACTAAATTTTTTTAAACAAATTATTTTAGTAGGGGCATATAAGAAAATATATTTATTTTAGTATGAGTATATATTATTTTAGTGAGAGCTTAAGTGTAAAATTTTAAAATTTTTAAAGATAATATTTTTTTTCAAAAAAATTTAAGTGAGGGCGGTTGCTCCCGCTCATCTTCAAGTGGCTCCGTCACTGTTCCTAAAGAATATTGGAGGAGGAATACGCTTGGAGGTTCGTATGTTGGGCTTCAAATTTCATCTCGTACGTCCTACGTGCATGCATGGATATGCATGGCAGAACAAGAACAAGAATTTACAGTGGTAAAAAAATAAAAACCAATCCAAAAGTAAAAGACAAGCCTGTCAAATGAGGGACAAATATGTAGAGAATAAAGACTTAAGAGAGGCTTTTGGAAAATTATGGCATACGCGTCTTTTCCATTACATTGATTGATTATAATTTAAATAATATAAATAATTTAACTATTGAAATAGAGGAAACTAACTAAATGAAAAACTAGCTAGATAATTACAAAGGAAATCAGAAATCTAAATCTAAATATTTACAAATTTGAATAAAGTAACTACAAATTAGGTAATTTCTCCTCTAGAGGACATATACTTCTGATAACCAAAGATTTTAAGCGGACAATTCTCTATTGATCAACAATCGCTATCTTGCTCTGAAAGAGATGAAAATTGTAACTTCATGTTGTTGGGATAAATTGGTGTGCTTTATGTTTCATGAAATTGTAACTTCGACCCAGATTCGTGATCTTAGTGTCCAACAGTCTGTCTTCAATGATTTAAAGGGGGTTTGCTCCAAAATGTTCCTTATATGACATCAATGTGACCAAAAAATGCTCAAAAAGTTATGAAAGTTAGGGTGCGCTTAGAACTCGTTTTAAAATGATTTTATTTTTTATATGAAAATGAAAATGAAAACGTTTTCAATCTTAGACAGAAATCATTTTTGAAAATGCATTTGGTAGTTTTATCAAGAGATTATTTTCAGTATAAAAAAATCCATTAATGTCTCTCTCTCTCTACTCGAGAGAGGAGAAAACGAAAATAAAAAATGAAAAATGACTAAAAATCGTTTTTCATTTCTCTTTCATTTTACACTAAACTAAAAAATCGTTTTCATTTCATTTTTTGTCTTTAATTGTGCCAAACGTCATTTATCTCATGTTTTCATTTTTTATTTCTCAAAAAACATAAAAAAAAAACAAAAACAGCAACAACTCCAAACAGAGCCTTAATACCTAATTTTGGTTATTTCCGAAGCTTTGAAACACTCATAAACGGCCTACATAACACATGAAACTCAAAGAATCTTTCACCCATAGATTGTACTCAAATTATACAAAGCTCATTGCGCTTTCGTTTGGGCCAAAAATATCAATTTTATGTAATAAGGGTTTTTATTAGACCGATGGAAAATGTTTTTACCCTCCAAAATTTGAAAAAATAGAGAAAATAAGATCACCAAACCCCACTTGAAACATATATTTAATATTTATAAGATGATCACAACATTCATTTAGAGCAAATCAATAGATTCAAAAAAGTGAATCTTTAAAAACCACGATGCACACCACAAAGTTGAGAGTACGAAATCAATATATTAAAAAAAAAAGTGAATTTTTAAAAATCATGATGCGCACCACAAAATTGGCGGTCTTCGTACTAAACTAGGTTGCTCTGATTTTAATTTCTTTTTTAAAAAGCCTCTTCTTTCAATAGTTTATTATTTAAAATTTCTATTTAGCGTCAAAGACGTGAACGGTTCTCGTAAGCCCGGTTCATTTCACCGATTTGAGTTTAAAATTTGAGTTTTGTTACAGTAAAAAACTCTCAGAAACAGTTATATCTAATTTTTTTATTATAGTAAAAAATTCTCACATTAAATTATATTTCAACTCAAATTAAAAAT